ATGATTGAGTATTACTAAATAGAATATATACTTTAGACCTCGTTACAGCGATTCACCTTGCGCATTCCGATTTGCTAACGTCTAGAATTTCTTATCAGCAACGAATAGAATACAAAACATAGGTCAAATTATGCACATAGATATAGAGCTATGTATATATTTACGCCATGCAGGAAATAGTAGGAAACAGGAATAAATTTTGTGGAAAAAAACATACTTCAATATATATGAATATATACCTAAGGAAACCAGGAAATACATTTAAGGCCTATCGCAATGGCTGAGATAATGCTTCGCAGTGTTGCCTTGTATTGTTGCGGCTCCTGAAGGTAGCTGGAAAGTGTCGGCATTTGGGTCTGATCATCATTTGGGTGAATTTGTAGCCATAGTTGTGGCCACGCCAGGCTCTCCAGCACATGCCGCGCGCGAACAGATTCTCTTCATACTTGCCGCCCTCAATATACTGCCCATTGAGATTGCTAAATTGAAGAGCAGAGAAATATATATCATATAGCTATCGAGTTATCAATAGATTATTTACCTGTCCACACAGCTATTGTACCACCAGGCACCCACGTGGAGAAAGGCACAGTTTCTGCGGAACTCTCGATCGTTGTCCCGATCGTAGGTGGAGAATTTCATTTTCTGATGACTTCTCAACGAATCTCCGGCATTTCCCGAATAGGCGCCCAGGACATAGAGCGCATAGTCATCCTCTTCGCTGCCAATGGCGAATTCATCAAATCTCGCTGATCGCGTGGTTCGATTAAAGTCCTCCAACACGATATACAACTCGAAGGGCTCCAAGGCAGTTATGGCACGCAGTTTCTCCAGTCCAATGAAAAACTCGCCATCGAGTCTACCGAAACCTTGCTTGTACTCCTCCCAGTTTCGAAAGAAGTTCAAGCTGCCATTGATGCGCCTCTGTATCACCAGCCATCCATATCCGGCCAAACAGTTATCACAGGCTACTGGAAAGGGAGCCATACCTGGTACTTTAATCGTACGAATTCCATTGGCAATTTTACTTTCATTGAAGGAGGACGTCAAACAGGATGTGGGATAGCTTCTCTCTATAAATTGTCTATAGAAATAGCATAATATTTGTGAATTTTAGATTATTTCTTACCATCCCTGGGTGAAGTGGAACTATTTGGATTCACATATGCTTTCAGTGCTTCCAGCTGTTCCTGTAGACTTTAAAAAGATTTCGATCTGTATTAAAATGTAATTTCCTTCTCCCTTGACATACTTAAGAACCAGCTCGTGCATTGTTTCTATGGGATGTGCCAGATCTTGACACTGTTGAAGATAGTTTATAATTAATTTTGATAGTACATATACTAGCTATACACATTTTTACCTGAGCATTGTTTACGACATAGATGTATGCAAAATATATGCATATTGAATAGAACAACGTTCCTACGTTCGTTCTAATGAGCCTCATCTTTAAAACTATTCAGAAAGTAAATTGCACTGAGACAGCTATATTATATGTAGTATTATCAAAAACAATTATCAGCTAGCTAATAAATCATAGATCAGGGATCAACATGATTACAATCATCAGCTTAACTTAATATTCTTATAAATATTAATATAATATAATAAATATATATCATATAAATATAATATATATATTTTTTAGTATATTATCATTTAATATTTTATTTAATATATTTTTAAATGATATTATAATTATTATTTCTTTTAATATATATGCTTAATATATTTCAAAAATGAATAGAAAATGTGATATATATATATCTATATATGTAATATATATATCTATATAATTCTGACTCTTTTTAAAAAAAGATATATCATTTTTATGCAAATCATCAGATGATTTAGACATTCATACATTTGTTAAATGCCTAGATCTTCAACTATAGATAATATAGACTTTTCCGCTGGGTTTACCTATTTAGCCTTGACATTTTTATACACTTTTGATATAGCAGAAAACTTTGATATAGTGGAAGACTAATAATACTAATACTAAAACTAACAAGTCTATAGCTATATTAGCACCATAAATATTAACGTTTGTGTGGTAAAATAAAATATATATAGAGCCCAGAGTGGAGCTATTTATGGGAGGAGATTGCACGACTGTTAATAAATATGTAAATAAATATATGCATATTTCTATAAATATGAAATCTTAAGTTACAATAGAACTACTTGAATTTCATGGGAATTACGACTCTAGAGTCAGTGGAAATCGGCAGAAATCTAGTCAGAAAGACGTTATAGAAAGCCAATATACTCGCCTTAATATTGTGTATATACATTTGTTGTTATTTATATAATAAACAAACGATTGTATATTTGTTGTTAAAGTAAAACGAGAAATGAACCCATTTAAAAGTAAGGAACTATACATAAATCTCAATTGCTTATATATGCGTATATCAATCTGTATTCAGATTCACATGAGACTTATGTGTGTATGTATGTATGTATGTGTATCTGTTCATATATGCTTAGGCACGTGGGCTTCATTTTGTAGATTCTGTGGGAGCTATGCGCCCAATGCCTCTCAAACTGTGCAGCGTCTGGCATTCATTTTACGGACTGTTTGCGCTTGGTTTATTGTTTTTGTTTTTGCTTTTGCTTTTTATCGAGGCGTCAATCTAAAAAAAAAAAAACAAGACAAGACATAAATATATATAGTGTATATATATATATATACTCACATATAATAGTTATAGAAACTGAGTTATTAAAGCGTGTGGGTGGCGACAGTTGCTGCTGGCTTGAGCGCGTCTTGAGTCTGTGGCCTCCGCCTCGGCTTCAGTCTTGGTCTAGAGTCTGTGCCGCAAAGTTAAGCGTAAAATGCGTCTAATGCGACGCGCTCCGAGCCACAAAGTAAACTTGGCTTTCACATAATTTAGCCTGCCTAATAACTCTATGGGTATTGCCTCTTGTCTTTTAGATGGCCATACCGCCACCACCGGGTCCTCCGCCACCGCCAGGACCGCCACCGCCACCGGGCTTGAGCGGCCTCAAGCTGGGTGGTGGAGGTGGAGCGGATCCACGCTCAGCTCTACTCAACTCCATACAGAAGGGCACCAAGCTGCGCAAGACGACAACGGTGGACAAGAGTGGGCCAGCGCTGTCGGGGCGTGTCTGTGATGGCGATGCTGCAGCTGGAGCCACGAAACGCACCCTCAACAACAACAACAACAACAGCATGAGCAGCAACAACAACAACAACAACATGGGCAATGGAGCACCCAAATTGGGCGGCCTCTTCGAAGGCCTCTCACAGATGCCAAAGCTGAAGCCAGTGAACGGTGTTCGTGGTAAGTTTGTGAAGCTGTGAGACTATAATGAAATAGCTCATGCAAATGTCTGCTGTTGCTCAATTGATTTCCGTTTTACACCCACCAGCTCCAGCGCCAGCAGCGGCAGCGGCAGCGTCGTCGCCAGCGACACGCAGCAATAGCCCCCCCACAGCCGCAGCAGTCAGCAATGGACCCATGGACTTTAATACGGAGCTCACCAAGCATTTAACATTGAAGCGTCAAAAGCAACAACAACAGCAACAACAACAACAACCACAGTCGAGCAACAGCAACAACAGCACACATATCAATGCAACCGAAGCAAATCTGAGAACAAATCGCGGACCACCACCGCAGCCGCCAAAGGTGAGTGAGACAGATAGGGAGAGAGGGAGAGAGAGGGAGACCCACACAGAGGCAGAACTATTTTAATTTGTATATACGTATAATTAGGCGAGCGAGCATTACTAATAGAGCAATTAGCCAAAGTAGAGCTCTTAGAGTGAATTAAGGAATTACTAAA